CCCGGCGAGGCAGCTGACCGCTGCAGCAAAGGATGCAGGAGGGAAGGGAAGGAAGTGCACGCCAGGCGCAGGCAGGAGGAGAGGAGGGGAAGTGCACGCCAGGCACGGCAGGCACCCCGGTGTGGCAGCTAACCGCTGCACCATTAGGACGCAGGAGGAGAATGGGGGGGCAGCGCGCGCCAGGCACGCGGTGTGAGGGGAGGGGGAAGAGCTCGCCATGACCCTGTGTACACTGACGCGCACGCCACGCGTTCTGATTATCTGGTAGGGCGCTGACGGCCCGCAGACGCCGTCGACGCGGGGGTGGAGGCAGACGGCCGCGCCTCCGACGTCGAGGGCCCGACCTTGCCCGAGAGCACTCCCACCCTGCAGCGAACGGCCAGCGTCGGCGCCCACGAGACCCCGACCATCTCGCAGGGGTGCCTGGCGCCCCCTGTTCGCGCCGACGCGGCGTCCCAGGTGTTGTCCACGCGCCTGCGCCCACTCGGTGCCCAGGCCCAATGAGTCGTTCGTGGCCCGAGCATCGCAGCTGCGGCTGCGAAGCGAGGCCAGGAGGGCGACGCAGGTTCGCTGATCGCGCCGACGCGGGTCGAAAGCGCGCGCGGTGCCAGGGGCAGAGTGATGCTCGGCAAAGGCGTGCCAGACGGCTGTGAACGACGCGCCCGGGGTGGACTGAAGGTACCTGATCGTCTCGTTTGGTGACGCTCCGCGGGGCCCCCACTGGGAGTCGCGGGCCCGGGCTTTATAGAGCGGCCTTCCAGTGCGGGGGTCCCGTGGTCCTGGATGCAGGCGATCGGCGAACGGCCTGGGCATCCACCACCTGCCCGTCCGACGCGTCGAGGACGCCCCCCTGTTGGGCTGCCGGCCCGTCTCGGCGGTCGAGCCCGCGCCCCCGCCCGAGAGGGGGGGGGGTCTGGCGAGCTTTGCAGGGATGCAGGGGTTGCCCCGCGGCTGCTAGCAGGGGCGTCCGTCCGCGTCGAATCGCCGGCAGGGGAGGGAGGGCGAATGGGGGGCGCAAGGGCTCCTCGAAACCAGCTGAAGGATGGCTTCGCTGCCCCCTGCCCCGCTCGCCAGGGGAGAGAGAGCTGGCGCGGTGGAACTCCCCAGTGCCGTATGTTCCAAGGTCCCGCTGTCTCTTTCCACCGTAATGCCCAGGTCGTCCTCCGGGGCGCTCTCGCTATCCTCGTCCTCGCACTTCTCCTGCAGGGACTCCTCCGCCGCCCCCTCGATGGTCTCCTCGACGGTTTCCTCCCTAGCGGTGGGCACCCCCTTCCTCCTGCGACTCGCGACCATCTTCGCGATCTTCCCAGTGGAGGCGACTGACCGTCGCAGAGTTTGTTGGGATCCGAGGCGGCTGGGTGGTCCCACGGGTCGTGTCGCCAGTGGGTTGTGTTGGACGGTCGGCAAAGTCCTCTTTGTCTTCTCCCTGCCACTTCTCCTGCGGCTCGCGACCCATTTCGCACTCTCCCCGGTGCAGGTGACTAACCATCGCAGACCCCCTTGGGATCCGAGGCGGCTGGGTGTTCCCATGGGGTCGTGTTGCCAGTGGATTGTGTTGGGCGGTCAGCAAGGTTCTCCCCCTGCCCCTCACCCTGCGTCTCGCGACTATCTGCACACTCTTCCCAATTGAAGCGACTGACCGTCGCAGAGTTTGTCGGAATCCGAGGCGGCTGGGTGGTCCCAGAGGTCGCGTTGCCACTGGGTTGTGTTGGGCGGTCGGCAAGGTCTTCTCTGTCTTCTCCCTGCCCCTTTCCTGTGGCTCGCGACCCATTTCGCACCCTTCCCGGCGTAGGTGAACGACCATCGCAGAGTCTGTTGGATCCGGGCGGCTGGGTGTTCCCAAGGGTCGTGTTGCCGGCGGGTTGTGTTGGACGGTCGGCAAAGTCCTCTCTGTCTTCTCCCTGCCCCTCACTCTGCGACTCGCGACTATCATCGCACTCCTCCCGGTGGCGGCGACTGACCGTCGCAGAGTCCGTTGGAATCCGAAACTGTTGGGTGCGCCAAGAGGTCGCGCTGCCAGTGGGTTGCGTTGGACGGTCGGCAAGGTCCTCCCTGACTTCTTCCTGCTCCTCCTCCTGCGATTCGCGACTATCTTCGCGCTCTTCCCGGTGGACGCGACCCGTTTCGCAATCCCCCCGGCATAAGCGACTAACCGTCGCATCTCCCTGCGTAGGCGGGGCGCCAGCCCACCCGTCGGCGCGCTGCGTTTGCGTCGTGGTCATGCCGCCGGGCACCTCTGTTGGAGAGCCGCGCAAACCAGGCGTTTCCAGGGGAGTGTCTACACAGGTTCCCTGTTCAGCTGCAGCCTGCTGGCCCAGTGCTGTAGCAATACGTATGCAATGACCAAATCGTGAGCCGATGTCGCGCGCGTGTCGATCACTCATAAGCCGCGCCTCAGCCATGCGTTCAAAGCCATGCGCAGCGAAGCTCGACGCATACATCCCAAGACCATGCTGACACGAAAAGCGACGACCTCGGGTTCGCAGTCTGCGGTTGGGTCGTTTGCGGGCGGGGCCGCCGAAGCGTCACATCTTGTTCCAGACGGAGAAGTATCTTGCTGCGCTCGCTGACGAGCCGCGCGCTGCCTCGCGCGGCGGGCTGCCCAGACTGTGATGGCGTGGTCGAGTTCGCGGTCCTCCTGACTATGCCAATCCTGGCTGTGCCAACTTCGCTGAATATCATGTGGGGGACCACGCTGACTGTGCCAACCTTGACTGTGCCAGCCCCGTGGGTCCTGACTGTGCCAACGTTGACTGTGCCAACCTTGACTGTGCCAGCCCTGACTGTGCCAATCCTGACTGTGCCGACCTCGTGGGTTGTGCCACTCTGACCAGGCCCCGCCAGAAAACCACGCGCTCACCACGGAAATGTGGAAGGGGAAAAACGAAACAAGAGAAGGGAAGGGAACGGGCAGAGGCCTCCTGACGGCTTGCAGCTGGGCCGGGGCGTCTTGAGCCAGAGAGGGTGCGGACTGGTGAGGATACTTATTTGTCGCAGCCGCAGGCGAAGGCGCCAGCGGCGAGTGAGGTCCGAGCGGGCCGCGCAAGAGACGAATTGCCTAACGCCGACGGGCCGGCGACCTCAGCAGCGCCTCGGCGGGCGGGCCGGCGTGAGGGGGAGGAGTGCGGGCTGCAGCTGCCAAAGACCAGGTCCAGGAGCGCGCACATGCACGATTAACCAACCAGGGTTGGAGCGCAGCCAAAATGGCGCGGGGGTGGTGCCAGGATGTGGCCAGGAAAGCAACGAGCAGTACACTGCGTCAGCTGCCAGGGGATCATACTGGCCCTAAACTGGTGCATATGGTGGCGCCACCAAAGTCGTACACCAATACTCCTGAAGGGAATACTGATCTTGCATACGACCGCCCACGGAATCCGCCGGCCCCCTTGTGGGGCCACCAGGCTGTAGGCGCGAGGTTCGCAGTTTCCTGTAACAGTTGTAGCTTGTAGTTTCCAGTGTTACAGTTCTGCTTCTTGCTGGTTGCTGTAACAAATTGACTTATTGATGGTTACTGTAACCAATTGATTGACCGCGCGAGGGGGGGGGAGATGCCCAAACCGGCTTTTTAGCACCCCCTGGGCGCGTTGTCTGAATTGCTGGGGGGGCTCGAAATCGACACCCCTCACGCAGATCCGCGGGGTCAGGGTCCAAAACACACAAGGGATTTGCCACATTTCTGAAATTCGGTGCCACCCCTCATGCAGATCCGCGGGGTCAGGGTCCAAAAACACAGGGGATTTGCCACATTTCTGAAATTCGGTGCCACCCCTCACGCAGATCCGCGGGGTCAGGGTCCAAAAACACAGGGGATTTGCCACATTTCTGAAATTCGGTGCCACCCCTCACGCAGATCCGCGGGGTCAGGGTCCAAAAACACATGGGATTTGCCACATTTCTGAAATTCGGTGCCACCCCTCACGCAGATCCGCGGGGTCAGGGTCCAAAAACACATGGGATTTGCCACATTTCTGAAATTCGGTGCCACCCCTCACGCAGATCCGCGGGGTCAGGGTCCAAAAACACAAGGGATTTGCCACATTTCTGAAATTCGGTGCCACCCCTCACGCAGATCCGCGGGTCAGGGTCCAAAAACACAGGGATTTGCCACATTTCTGAAATTCGGTGCCACCCCTCACGCAGATCCGCGGGGTCAGGGTCCAAAAACACATGGGATTTGCCACATTTCTGAAATTCGGTGCCACCCCTCACGCAGATCCGCGGGGTCAGGGTCCAAAAACACAAGGGATTTGCCACATTTCTGAAATTCGGTGCCACCCTTCACGCACATCCATCGCAAGGCGTGGTAACCCAAACTGCGAGAACTCCCTCGGCCCTTTAATCGCAAGGTGTGGTAACCAAGCCCGTAAACCATACACGTCTTACCAATCGCCAGGTGTGGTAACCCCTCTTGTGATCAGTTGGTTTTGCTGATTGCGAATCGGCTTCGCATGAAGTTTCGATACTGCTTCACGACAGCGCCAAGGCCTCATGACTTAGCTCTTCCATGGCCCATTCTCCGAGAGAGGGGGCCGGCGGCAGAGGGCGAAGCCCTTACGGATAATAAACCAACTGGTGGGGATACTTTTTTTTTTACAGCCGCAGGCGGAAGCGCCTGCGGCGAACAGTCACGGTCGGGCTGCAGCCGCGACTAAATTCCCGGGCGCGCGCGGGAGCCGCGGGTCAGGCGGCGAGGGGGGCGGCAACCCAGGGCGTCTGAGAGGCCAGTTGGGCCAGGCCAGGCCAGGCCCAACTGGTGGGGATACGCGAAGCGTCAAGAATTCACGCTGGCGTTTGAGTCTGATGGCAACCAAGCGCCCTATTCGACTGAACAAAAGTTTTTGTGCTCCCCTTGTGGACGCCGAACGTGTCAACTGCATCGGCTGAGGAGGAGGAGGATGAAGAGGAGGAGGAGGAGGAGGAGGAGGAGGAGGAAGAGGAGGAGGAGGAGGAGGAGGAGGAGAAGGAGGAGGAGGCGGAACGGCGGAGGCGGCTCGAGGAGCTCTGGCGAAGACAAGGGACTGAGCCAGAGCGGGGTGCCCGAGAGCGGCAATCCGCGCTCACAGCGAGACCGCCTTCGGGGAGCTGCTGGTCGTGGAACCGCTGCGGCCCTGCGCGCCCAGCAGGCGTGGTGGCCCGCGCTCCGGGGCGCCTGCCGGCCGGGGCTCGCGCAGCGCCTGCTCGATGGCGGTGGCCTCCTGTCGGGGAGGCGAGAAAGACTCGGATTCGGGCGACTCGGGCTGGCCTGACAGGGCCATGAGGAAACCGACGAGACCCATTCAGAGTTTTGACGCGAATTCCCGCTGCAAACATCCCACGAGCAACCGAGCCGCCAAAATTCGGGACGAGCACCTCGGACAGGCGGCAAACTCGAATCCTACGTCTCCCCCATCCTGCCCGGGGCGCCCACTGCCGCTTGCGCCGCCGCTGCCGCCACTGCCGCCCACTCGCCTCGTCCGCCCTCCTCCCAGCTCCACCCGCTCCGGGAGATCCCGGCGTCGCAACTTCGTCGCAGCGGCCGATTTCGCTCTGTCTGGGGACCTGGAGCCTCCACGGATCGATTTGGCTCGAAGAATGCTGTAGAGAGACGGGCTCATGGCTCCAATCGATGTTTTACGATGTTGCATTTTCCGTGACGGATCTCAGGGTTTCCCTTCCATCCTTGGGTGCCTGGAAGTTGGCACCATCATCAACACAGGGGGTTGCCTCCACCTCTGGAAGATGTTCGTGAATGTAGCTGCTAGTGGCAAGAACCTTATGACAAAACCATCACCGAGATCAGGATCAGCTTCCCTCGGTGGAGGCAACCGTCGATACTGGTGCTGCTGCCAACCCCTAGGCCTTCAGCGCCCTCTCCTCATCCTCCACCGCCTCCGCCCTGTCCTCCTCGCCTCGTTGTCGCCGTCGGCGTCGTCGTCGTCGTCCACCAGGGTGCCCCATGGTGCGCAGCGGAGTGGTCCCACGCTGGCGTCCCCTGGCTGGGTCTCTCTCCGTTTGCTGGATGCCTCCGCCTGCTAGCGCCCGTCGCCGTGAGCCCCGCCCCTCCTCCATGGGCTCCATGGGCGCCCCGAGGCGGCCCGCGTGGGTCCCCCCTAGCATGCCCTGCAAGGCGCCCCAAGAAGATCTCCAAAGACGCCAACGCGGCCAGCGTGCCGTCACAACGGCCCAAAGAGCCACCCACGCAGACCCAAAGGCGGTCGCTGCGAGGCCAACAGGGGCTGAAACAGAGTGGTTGTTCGATGTTGAAGCCTGTGACCCGTGTTCCAAGAACTCGCAGGTTGCCCCGAAATGCCCGCATGGCCTCCCGAACGCCTCCCAGGAGGCCGCAAGCTAAGGTGGGCAAGGATCCCCACGGCTCAACACACAGCCCAGCGCCGCACAACAAACAACTCCAAGACGGCCCACGGCCAGCCCCAGATGGCCCCAAGACGCCCGCTGGACGGCCCCAGTGCCCTCCAGACTTGTCCCAAGACCGTCCTACATCTGGTGCCAACAATTCGACGCCACCCGACGCTATTCATAGTTCACAGGTCAACCTCAAACTGTGGTACATCGACGCCACCAAATGCCAACGCCATTGACGCGAGCCCTCTCGACTGGGATCGAACTCGGCAAAACCCGGACACTTCATACTTTGACCAGAATTTGCCGCAGTTCCACACGGACAACAACACCACAGAAAAAAACGACGGAAGAGAAGGGAAGTGAATAATGACGATGTTGTTGATAGTGTTGTTGGTGCGGATGCTGACGATAAAGCTACTGATGCTGATCTTGCGAATGATGTTGATCATGGTGGTGTTGTTGATGATGCGGATGGTGAAGACGAGACTGATACTGATGATGCTGCTGATGCGGTTGGTGATGATGATGACGACGGGACGTGCGAATATGATTGTTCGTCGCGTTAGCATTCGTATTCTTGTTCTTAGTAATGATGTTATTAGTATTCTCCCGCCCCGCGCAAGCGAAAGGTCGTGAGACGATAGCGCTGCTGCTGATGACGATGACGATGAGGATGATGATGATGATGACGACGATGATGATGATGATGTTGAAGAGGATGAAAGAGAGGAGGACGAATAATAGGAGGAGGAGGAAGAGAAAAAGGCGCCACATGAGGGAGATTGAAGAGAACGATCGGAAACGTTGCGAAGAGGATGGGGGGGATGCAGGACGAGCAGCACGATCGGGGGGACGTTCAGAGAAGAGACGAGAGACGGCAGAGGGGAAACATAATAACGGAGGGGATCAAGGTGGAACAGGAGACAAACGAAGGGAGAGAACGGAAGGCGAAAGACCAAGGGGCGCGCAGGATTTTTTCGTGTTGGCGGGGCCAGGGGGCGCAGCGAGACTAGCAGTCAACGGCCTCGCGCCGAGGGGCGCGATGCAAAGGGTCGACGGGCACCTCCCAGGAGGGGGGGGGTGCGCCAAAGGGAGACTGAGTGCCTCAGTCGGAAAAAGGTACCATCCCACTGACGGGAAGGCGCCCCGAGGGTGTTCATGACCCAGGGACAAGCAGATGAGACGAGACAGCTGTGGATGACAAGCCTCGCTGCCAACCGCCAGTTTTTTATGCCGCGCCCGCCACTCAGGGCTCCGATCACGACACCCAAGCCAGCCGAGGGGCGCCGCTCCCCCGGCTGACTCCCGCCCCCACGCACGCACTGGGCGGGGCGCCCGGGCCGAGGCAAGAACGGACGGGGATCCCCCGGTGAGCCGCCCGCAAGCGACCGGCGTCCCCGCCCGAGCCCGTGAGGACGAGAGTGCAATTTTCTCTCCCCCTGGCCCACTACGGGCAAACAGGGGTGACGAACGGGCTGCAACCCTCCTGTTTTGCTGGGGCACGCGAAGGCACCCAGTGGCACAGGTGCCAAGAGGCGCTCAGGAGGATGAGGAGCAGGAAGAGGATGAGGAGCAAGGATAGGAGAGGAATATCAATAACCCGCAACTATCTAGAGCCCAAGAGAGCGCTGAGACGGCCCAGGGTCGCCCCAAGACGGTCCGCGATGACTTCGAGACGGCCCACGTGCCTGCAAGACCAGAGGACCACCGAGAGGGTCCCAAGAAGCAACAATCATACGATTTCGTTGGCGAGCGTGTATGTTTCAACATCTTCACCTTCTTCGTCTTGACAGCATCCAGGGCGGCCAAAGGGGGCCCTCAGACTCGCCCCAACAGGGCACACGAGGCCTCCAAAGGAGCCCCAATGCAATCCAAGGGGGGCCCAAGACTGCCGCATAGGCCCCCCCCCTCCAGACGGCCCAAGAGAGCCCCAAGAAGACCCCGACCAGGGCCCAGGGAAGGAGATGCGAATCGCCATTTCAAGCCTTTCTATCCAAGATGGCTCAAAGAGCCCAACCGGCGCCTCCGAGGCGCCCGCAAGAGGCTCCAACAAGCTCCTAGGGGTCCTCAGGAAACCCTCAGGAAGCCTATAAGAAAACCTAAACGCCCCCCCCCCGCCCCCCCCAGATGCACCCAAAGAGCCATCCAAGAGGTCCCATGAGAGCCATCCCGCGAGCCCCTCAAATCCATCCAAGAAGCTCCTCGCCCACTAGGTAATTCCAAGATCGTCGCAAACATTCGCTCCTTCTGGGGAGGTCGGCGGAATAGCATAAGCAATTGAGTGACAACACGCATACCCACACAAGAGCCACCGCAGTTGCGAATAAAAGTGGGGAGGGCCAGGGGGGCATTGGCAGTCTGCGAGGCGCGACAGACCAAAAAACAGCCAATTGTAAACATATACTTTTCTACACACCACAGTACGAGTCCGCCAGAAACGCTAATTGTTCTTCAACATGGTGTGGGTGGGCCGCGGATGGATCGCGGGTGGGTCGCGGGCTGGTCGCGGGCGGGTCGCGGGTGGGTCGCGGGCGGGTCGTGGGTGGGTCGCGGGTGGGTCGCGGGTGGGTCGCTGGTGGGTCGCGGGTGGATCGCGGGCGGGTCGCGCGCGGGTCGCGGGCGAGGGCGGCGACACCACCACCACCACCACAACGACAACAACAGCCATGAAAGCAACAATCATTGTAAGATTTGCCGATCTCACCTGCTCGCGTGCCATTCAACACGTGTATCCCAAACCCTTGATACCCGCCGTTTTTGTCTTTGATTGTACCCATTTGGGGTTATAGGTTCCTTACCTGCCACGTGGAATTGGTAAAACAAGGGAAGAGAGGACGGATGGAAGGGGGATGGAAATCGATGGAGCACGGGAGAGAAAAGCAGGAAGGGGGCTTGGAGCAGAAAGCACGTGGCATAACCAGACGGGCTGATCAAGTGGGTAGACCCTACCGAGCGGGTCGGGAATGCTGGCCCCAGCGGCCAGGTTGAGCTGGCTGGCTGCTGAAGCGTGAGGACTGCATGAATCGCGAGGAGGTCTCGGGAATCGCGAGAAAGTCCAAACCGAGAGCGTGATCACTGAGGGTCGTGGGCACGGCGTCTGAACACATTGCGAGGAAGTCCCACGCGAACGCGATTCCTGCATACATTGTGTGGAAGTCCCGCGCGAGAACGCGATGTTGGAATGAACCCTGAGGAAATATCGGGCGGGAGCCGTTGTTGTTGTAGCGGGGGGGGGCAACAACGCAGCTTGAGCACGAAGCGTTGCCCTTATCGAGAAACAGGGTGCGAGCCCCGAGGGGGGGCACTTCAATGGGAAAAACAAAAAGTGCAACGGCGGGTGGGTTCAACCGTACTTAATCTTCAAGAGTGAAAGTTCAGCCACATGAGCGACAACACCACCAACAACACCAGCAGCAACAATCACTTCAAGACTCTTATCTGCTCGCGGGCAACTCAACACGTATATCTCGAACCCTCGATACCCGCCCTTTCCAGCTTCGATCGTGCCCCCTGGGGGTATATATCTTCCTTACCCGCAACGTGTCTTTCAGAGAGGACGGATGGAAGGACAGGAGAAGGGGGAGGGAGAAGGATGGAGCATGAGAGAGATTAGCAGGATGGGGGCTAGGAGCAGCAAACGTGGCAAAACCACACGGGCAGATTGGGTGGGCAAGCCGTAGAAGGCGAGTCGGGAAGGCGGGCCCAGGCGGCCAGGTCGAGCAGGCGGGCTGCTGAAGCGTGAGGAATGCATGACTCGCGAGGAACTCTCGAGCGATAGCGCGATTCCCACATGAAGCGCGAGAACGTCCAAACCGAGAGCGTGATTCCTGAGGGTCGAGGGCGCGGCGTCTGAAGAAATTGCGCGGAAATCCCCACGCGAGCGCGATTCCTGCAAACATTGCGTAAAAAAACCCACGCGAGAGCGCGATTTCGGAACAGGCGGGAGCCGTTGTTGTTGTAGCGGGGGGGGGGGGCAACAACGCAGCTTGCGCACGAAGACTTTCCCTGAACACAAAACAGGGTGCGAGGCCAGGGAGGGCCAGTTGAATGGAAAAACGCAGCGCAACCAGGTGGGAAACCATCATTGATAATTATCCAAGAATGAAAACACAACAACAACACCATCGACAACACCATCGACAACAACAACAACAACAACAACAACAACAACAACAACAACAACAACAACAACAACAACAACAACAGCAGCAGCAGCAGCAGCAACAGCAACAGCAACAGCAACAGCAACAGCAATGACAACAACACCAACAACAACGACGACAACGAAACCAACGAGAACAACAGCAACGGCAGCAGCAACGGCAACAACAATAGCAACAACAACAGTAGCAGCACAACATATCCAAACATCAGTTTGATACATTTTCGCTCCTATATGATCACGTGCCACTCAACCCGCCCTCTTCGTCTTCGATCGTACCCTCTTGGAGGTATAGCTTCCTTACCTGCCACGTGTATTTAGCGCAGCTTCTAAAACAGGGAAAGGGCGGACGGATGGAAGAGGAAGGGAGAAGGATGAAGCACGGGAGAGATTAGCAGGAGAGGGGGCTAGGAGCAAACAACACGTGGCAGAACCAGACGGGCAGTCCGGGCGGGCACACCCTAGTAGGCGGGTCGGGAAGGCGGGCCCAGGCGGCCAGGTCGAGCAGACGGGTTGCTGAGTGGCGAGGGCGCGGCGTCTGAGTAAATTGCGAGGAAGTCCCACGCGAGTGTGCGATTTCTGTATACATTCAGAGGAAATCCCACGCGAGAGCGCGATTTTGGAATCAATTGCGCGGAAGTGTCAAGCGGGAACCGTTGTTGTTGTTGTTGTTGTTGGTGGTGTTGTAATTACTGTTGTTATTGTTGATGTTGTGGTCGTGGTTGTGGTTGTTGTTGTCGTCATTCGAGGCCCGGCAACGCAGTTTGGTGACACCAAGATGTCCCTGCTAAAAAACCAGGTGCGAGCCCCGGGAGGAAACATACAATGCTCGCTGGATGGGGATCACAATAATATTGTTGTTCAGAAAAAGATACCGGTCCTCTTCGTCTTCGATCGCACCTCCCTTGGGGGAATATCTTCCGTACCTGCTACGTGTAGTTGGCGCAGCCCTTAAAACAGGGGAAGAAAGGAAGGAGGGAAGAGAAGGCCTGGCCAGGCCAGAACCCTATGTTCACCATGGGTATTTGAAAGATGTTGGCTCTCCACTTTGACAACTTCCAACGGCCCACGATGGCCTGAAAGAACAAGACGGCACCCAAACGGCCCAAAACGGAACCAAGAAGACCCCAAGACGGCCCAAAATGGCTTCCAAAACGGTGGTTGCCAAGACGATCCCAGGACGCCTCCAAAACGGTTGAGATGCCGTCAACAAAAACCCAAGATGGCCCAAAGATGCCTCCAAGACCACCAAGGTCGACCCAAGACGGCCTGAGAGGCCTCCGGAAAGCTCCAAGTTGGTCCAGAAGGACCTCGAACAGGCCCTCACGAGGCTCAAAATCATTGCTTTGGGTCTTGCCGTTTCGAGCTACAACCTCAAACGGTCCCAGATGGCCTCGAGAGGCTGTCAAGAAGCCCTGGGAGGCTCCATGAAGACTCAAAGATGCCGCCTCGTCTTGTCCGCTCTCCTGGCGCAGCATCCACTTCCCTCTCCTGATCGTCCTTTACGTCATCCCCCCAAAGGGTTTCCACAACGACCGGGGGGGGGGGCACGCAGTCCGATGGCTTGCCTGGGGTCCAAATATTATGCGATGAATCCCGAGCCCCGCTCCCACCCGCGACCGCCTCTGAGGGTCAAGCCACGAGCGCCCCCTCCGAAATCCAAAGAAACTCAACGACTCGGACTGGGAACGCCAGGCAGGTGCTGCCACTGGCGGGGGGAGGGGGGGGGGCAACCCTACAATCCGATGCGCGAGCACCCGTTCGCAGTCCCACCCCACCCCACATCGCAGGTGCAGGCCTAGAAGAGAAGAAGGGGTTTGCCGAAACCAGCGCTGCTAGGCTTTACCTTCATAGGGCCATTGCTAGCCCGTCGCGGATTCCAAGCGCGCCGTTTGCTGGAAAGCACCGCGTGGGAGAGCTGCGACCGTTCGCGCGCTTGCACCCGAAGTTGCCTGGGCCAGGGAAACTCGCAAACTTGAGTTTGGGCGCGTGTATCAAGCCTCTGAAGGTGCAACAACGGCCCGTCGTACCGCGCAAACGTAGGTGCAAATCGCGACAAGTGAATTTGCACCACCCCGAAACGCAAATGCAAAAAACAACGTGCACATCTGCGCCGCGCGAATTCAAGTGCTGCGAACGTCGCGTGCGTTTACATCCCCCAGATGCATGCGCAACGGACGGCGCGCGATTAAGCACAGCAGATATGAAGGTGCAAACGACGGTTTCCAACTTGGCGCGAATCTGGACTGGGCGCAAGATCGGCGCGATAAAATGCACCGCCCAAATGCAGGTGAAAATGAAATGCAAATGCGCCGCGGAATCTCACACCGCTCAAGATTGCGGCGGGCAATCGAACATCGAAATGCACCTGCCAGGCGTCTACCGTTAATGCACCGTACACTTCATCCCTATTTTTCCTCCCCGACTGCTCTCTCCTCCTCCGTCTTCCCGTCTTCCCCTCCTGCTCCTTCTCCATCTCCCCCTCCTGCTCTTCCGGTCCTCCCAGCCTTTGAGGCCATCCAAGTCCATGCTGAACCCGCCGTCGTGCTTCACCTTGGAAGACGGCCAGAATGGCGGTGGGAACGGAAGGACCGGACCAGATCACCCAAGGACGTTGCTCTCGCTCCCTCTTCCCTTAGGTCGGGCGTGCCCCCCTACAGGGGGATTTTGGACGAAAAATAAAAATGCTCAAAACAGATTCAAACATAATCAAAAAATGCCGTGAAAGCAGTCCCCATACAACTTTCTATTATTTTCCCAACCAACCTGTGTTGTTGGGTCCTCGTTTTGAAGAGACGGTCCCCGCGTTCCTTCCTCCTTCCTCCTTCCTCCTCCTTTCTCCTCCTCCCCTTCCTCCCCCCTCCTCCCCCTCCCACACCCATTCTGGCACACCCCTCACACGCTTCGTGGCCACATAGGGAGCTCCACCGAAGGCCCCAGTGGCTGCGCCCGCATGCGGTTCCACCCTCCATTCTGGCACACCCCTCACACGTTTCGTGGCCCCATAGGGAGCTCCACCGAAGGCCCCAGCGGCTGCGCCCGCATGCGGTTCCACCCCCCATTTTGGCACACCCCTCACACGTTTCGTGGCCCCATAGGGAGCTCCACCGAAGGCCCCAGCGGCTGCGCCCGCATGCGGTTCCAGTTTGGCACACCGAAGGCCCCATGCGGTGGCTGCGTGGCCCCATAGGGAGCTCCACCGAAGGCCCCAGTGGCTGCGCCCGCATGCCCACCCCCCATTCTGGCACACCCCTCACACGTTTCGTGGCCCCATAGGGAGCTCCACCGAAGGCCCCAGTGGCTGCGCCCGCATGCGGTTCCACCCCCCATTCTGGCACACCCCTCACACGTTTCGTGGCCCCATAGGGAGCTCCACCGAAGGCCCCAGTGGCTGCGCCCGCATGCGGTTCCACCCCCCATTCTGGCACACCCCTCACACGTTTCGTGGCCCCATAGGGAGCTCCACCGAAGGCCCCAGTGGCTGCGCCCGCATGCGGTTCCACCCCCCATTCTGGCACACCCCTCACACGTTTCGTGGCCCCATAGGGAGCTCCACCGAAGGCCCCAGTGGCTGCGCCCGCATGCGGTTCCACCCCCCATTCTGGCACACCCCTCACACGTTTCGTGGCCCCATAGGGAGCTCCACCGAAGGCCCCAGTGGCTGCGCCCGCATGCGGTTCCACCCCCATTCTGGCACACCCCTCACACGTTTCGTGGCCCCATAGGGAGCTCCACCGAAGGCCCCAGTGGCTGCGCCCGCATGCGGTTCCACCCCCCATTCTGGCACACCCCTCACACGTTTCGTGGCCCCATAGGGAGCTCCACCGAAGGCCCCAGTGGCTGCGCCCGCATGCGGTTCCACCCCCCATTCTGGCACACCCCTCACACGTTTCGTGGCCCCATAGGGAGCTCCACCGAAGGCCCCAGTGGCTGCGCCCGCATGCGGTTCCACCCCCCATTCTGGCACACCCCTCACACGTTTCGTGGCCCCATAGGGAGCTCCACCGAAGGCCCCAGTGGCTGCGCCCGCATGCGGTTCCACCCCCCATTCTGGCACACCCCTCACACGTTTCGTGGCCCCATAGGGAGCTCCACCGAAGGCCCCAGTGGCTGCGCCCGCATGCGGTTCCACCCCCCATTCTGGCACACCCCTCACACGTTTCGTGGCCCCATAGGGAGCTCCACCGAAGGCCCCAGTGGCTGCGCCCGCATGCGGTTCCACCCCCCGTTCTGGCACACCCCTCACACGTTTCGTGGCTCCATAGGGAGCTCCACCGAGCGCCCCAGTGGCTGCGCTCGCATGCGGCTCCACCCCCCCATTTCGGCACACCCCTCACTCGTTTCGTGGCCCGGGGGCGCCACCGAAGAATATATCCACAATTGCGGTATTCACAACTACGTATGGTTGGGCTTTTCGTCAGGCTAATTGAATATTGCCTAACAGCGAAGACTGATAGGTTTCTAATGGGGACAGAAGAAAGCATCTGATGACTCCCCAGGGAGGTCTGGGCGGGAGCCGGACAGGCGAGAACCGGGCTCCTTTTAAGCAAACTCTAGGCCACTTCGTGCTCTTCAACCTCCCAGAACTCCACTCCCGGGCCACATTTTGAATGGCCGGAACCAACTGTAAGCCACTTCGTGCTCTTCGACTTCCCAGAACTCCACTCCCGAGCCACATTTCCGGAGCCAACTGTAGGCCACTTCGTGGTCTTCGACTTCCCAGAACTCCATTCCCGGGCCACATTTTGGATGTCCGGAGCCAACTGTAGGCCACTTCGTGGTCTTCGACTTCCCAGAACTCCATTCCCGGGCCACATTTTGGATGCCCGGACCGAACTCTAGGCCACTTCGTGCTCTTGGACTTCCCAGAACACCATTCCCGGGCCACATTTTGGATGCCCGGAGCCAACTCTAGGCCACTTCGTGCTCTTCCACTTCCCAGAACTCCACTCCCGGGCCACATTTTGAATACCCGGAGCCAACTGTAGGCCACTTCGTGCTCTTGGACTTCCCAGAACACCATTCCCGGGCCACATTTTGAATGCCCGGAGCCAACTGTAGGCCACTTCGTGGTCTTCAAGTTCCCAGAACTCCATTCCTGGGCATGATTTTGAATGCCCGGAGCCAACTGTAGGCCACTTCGTGTTCTTCCAGTTCCCAGAATTCCATTCCCGGGCGACATTTTGAATGCTGAGGCAGGCTGAGGCTGAGGCTGAGGCAGGCTGAGGCTGAGGCAGGCTGAGGCTGAGGCCGAGGCTGACGGCAGACTGAGGCTGAGGCTGAAGCAGGCTGAGGCTGAGGCAGAGGCAGGCTGAGGCTGAGGCAGGCTGATGCTGAGGCAGGCTGAGGCTGAGGCTGAGGCTGATGCAGGCTGAGGCTGAGGCAGGCTGAGGCTGAGGCCAAGGCTGAAGGCAGACTGAGGCTGGCTGAAGCAGGCTGAGGCTGAGGCTGAGGCTGAGGCTGAGGCAGGCTGAGGCTGAGGCTGAGGCAGGCTGATGCTGAGGCTGAGGCTGAGGCTGAGGCTGAGGCTGAGGCTGATGCAGGCTGAGGCTGAGGCAGGCTGAGGCGGAGGCCGAGGCTGAAGGCAGACTGAGGCTGAGGCTGAAGCAGGCTGAGGCTGAGGCTGAGGCAGGCTGAGGCTGAGCTGAGGCAGGCTGATGCTGAGGCAGGCTGAGGCTGAGGCTGAGGCTGATGCAGGCTGAGGCTGAGGCAGGCTGAGGCTGAGGCCGAGGCCGAAGGCAGATTGAGGCTGAGGCTGAAGCAGGCTGAGGCTGAGGCAGAGGCAGGCTGAGGCTGAGGCTGAGGCTGGCTGAGGAGGCTGGCTGATGCTGAGGCAGGCTGAGGCTGAGGCTGAGGCTGATGCAGGCTGAGGCTGAGGCAGGCTGAGGCTGAGGCCGAGGCTGAAGGCAGACTGAGGCTGAGGCTGAAGCAGGCTGAGGCTGAGGCTGAGGCAGGCTGAGGCTGAGGCTGAGGCAGGCTGATGCTGAGGCAGGCTGAGGCTGAGGCTGAGGCTGATGCAGGCTGAGGCTGAGGCAGGCTGAGGCTGAGGCCGAGGCTGAAGGCAGACTGAGGCTGAGGCTGAAGCAGGCTGAGGCTGAGGCTGAGGCAGGCTGAGGCTGAGGCTGAGGCAGGCTGATGCTGAGGCAGGCTGAGGCTGAGGCTGAGGCTGATGCAGGCTGAGGCTGAGGCAGGCTGAGGCTGAGGCCGAGGCTGAAGGCAGACTGAGGCTGAGGCTGAAGCAGGCTGAGGCTGAGGCTGAGGCAGGCTGAGGCTGAGGCTGAGGCAGGCTGAGGCTGAGGCAGGCTGAGGCTGAGGCCGAGGCTGAGGCAGACTGAGGCTGAGGCTGAAGCAGGCTGAGGCTGAGGCTGAGGCAGGCTGAGGCTGAGGCTGAGGCTGAGGCAGGCTGATGCTGAGGCAGGCTGAGGCTGAGGCTGAGGCTGATGCAGGCTGAGGCTGAGGCAGGCTGAGGCTGAGGCCGAGGCCGACGGCAGACTGAGGCTGAGGCTGAAGCAGGCTGAGGCTGAGGCTGAGGCAGGCTGAGGCTGAGGCTGAGGCAGGCTGATGCTGAGGCAGGCTGAGGCTGAGGCTGAGGCTGATGCAGGCTGAGGCTGAGGCAGGCTGAGGCTGAGGCCGAGGCTGAAGGCAGACTGAGGCTGAGGCTGAAGCAGGCTGAGGCTGAGGCTGAGGCAGGCTGAGGCTGAGGCAGGCTGAGGCTGAGGCTGAGGCAGGCTGAGGCTGAGGCTGTGACTGCGACTGCCGTTGCCACTGCGACTGTCATTGCGAATGCGACTACGACTGCGAGAACAGCAGAATTCTACAACTGGATTCTCATCCGAATCTTAAGGGGAATGCTTCCAGATATGCTCCTACACATCGCTGTTAGGTTGCTTTGCCGGGATAATTCCTCCTGTCTGAATCATCGGCGCCACTCTCATCGCCAAATGCGCCATCGCCTCCATCACCGACGAGACCCGCAGCGTGGCTCGAGCGAGCTGCTCGGGGCACACCGCGCGGCCACCGCGCAGCCCAGCTGGCGCTCACGTCCATGCCAGGACACCTCGGCGGCGAGCCCCGGGGTGGAGGTGAGAAGTTCGTGCAATGCCAACCTCGGCGTTGGTGACCGACACTGCGGGGATGCTCCAACCTGGGACGACCGGCCGCTTCCGAAACGTCAGCTTCTTCAGCATCGACCGACTCTGGGTCGCCAGCGGCGCTCAACGTTGAACGCCCGCGGCGGGGTCGCCGCCGGTCGACGCGACGCGGACCCACCGTTCGGGTGTTGCTAGAAGTGCCCCTGGCCTAAGGTGACCTAAGGTGCCCCCAGGATTCCCGGGGTGGCCCAGACGGCCTCCAGAGCACCCCTGACGAGGCCCGGAGGGCCCCCCCAGACGGCCCAAAAAGGGAGCGCAACGCTGGGGGCACCTTGGGCCAGGGGGCACTTCTAGCAACACCCGAACCGTGGCTGCGGCACGGCGCAGGCCCGGAGCAGGCCGAGAGGGGGGCCCTGACTCCGGATCCGCCCTACTTTGGGGAAATTCGTAAGTAGGGCTAGGAATTTCCGCCTTACTTTTCAAGCCCCGCTGATGCCAATTTCCGCCCTACTTTTCTGTGGTTGTTTCCGCTCTATTTCTGTGGATGTTCGCCCTATTCTATGTTGGGTGCAGAAGTTTCCGCCCTACTTTTTCGGCTTCTTATGGGTGGATTTCCGACGCAATTTTAAGTTGTGGAAAAAGCCAGAAAGTAGGGCGGATCTGGAGTCAGGGGGCGCCGCGGGCCTCGGGGCGCACGGGGCCCGCGGAGCGAGGCGCCCTCCCCCCCCCCTGCAGGCGCGGCGCCGCGGCGCGAGGGGCGCGCCCGCCGCGGCCTGCCGAGCGTGGCGCCCCGCCCCGCGCGCGGAGCACACCCGGCGGGTGCCGCGAGCGCAGTCCGCGACGGGCCTCGGCGCTCGCTGCAAAGACATGATCGGCCCAAGAACTCGGAAGAGGTTCAACAAAAGAAACTACCTCCTCCTCCTCCTCCTCCTCCTCCTCGTCATGATCAGTCAGTGCCATCACCACCGCCACCACCATCATGATGATCATGATCATCATGATCATCGTCGTCGTCGTCATCACCAATCAGTACCCATCATCGCCAGTCAGTACCATCATCACCACCACCATCATCATCACGATCACCATCACCATCACCATCATCATCACCATCACGATCACCATCGCCATCATCGTCATCGTCATCTTCATCGTCATCGTCATCGTCATCGTCATCATCATCATCATCATCATCAGCATCATCATCAGCATCATCATCATCATCAGAATCAGCATCATCATCATCATCATCATCATCACCATCATCTCATTGGAATGTGGAGCATGGAAATGACTTCAAAACTCGGGCGACTGGCAATTGCAATGCTGAGGACAACGACAGTGTTGTACCGTGCCAGGGGCTGTGCTGTGGTGGGCCGTGCCGTGCTGAGCCGAAATGTACCATTTCACACTGACCTGTGCTGTGCTCTATTGCGTTGTGGATCGAGCCGCCCTTGGCTTCATAATCCTGACCGAACTGATATCGATCTTGAGCTCGAGCTGCATGAACGAATAGCTTGAGCTAGTTGCAATCGAACTCAAGACCAGACGCAGCTTTGAAGCGGGACAAGTCAAGAGGGGGCGCATCTAAATCAGCGCGAAACGCACCGGTAATGTATGCACAAACGCGGCGAACCGAGACACGACGAACTGTATCAAGACTAGCCGAACAAATACGAACCTAGACGAATACCGAACCAATCCTACTCGAAACGAAACACGACAGACCGAAACTAGGACGAGCCGGATACGTATCGGGTCACCATTGTGAAACTGCATGGCATCTCCTGAAGGAGCCGCACTCCGAGAGGCAAAGGCTCCCCGCAAGTAACCCATGCCGCGATCCTGGCGTACGTTGCGATTGGCCCGTGCTGTGCTGCACTGTGCTGCACCATGCAATTGAACTGTGCTGTACCCTATCGCGTTGTCGATCAAGCCGCCCTTGGCATGCGGATTCTGACCGAACTGATTTGGATCTTTAGCTCCAGGTGCCTACGCGCATGGCTAGCCCAGAGATAGCTGCAAATCGATCGAAACGTGCGGGGCGTTCAACCAGCTCGACCTCACGATCCGCTTCAGTTCCGAGGTGGGGGCGGACCGAACGGGGGACGAATCCACGCCGAATCGAAACGCACCGAGACGACAAGGCCCCCGCTCGACACCTCCTCAAATTATGCAGAACAGACATCTCGCGAGAAACATCCTCAGCACATCCTGCAGAAGAAACGTTTCGCTGCAGGCCAAGCCCTCGCTCGAGACATCCTCAACTAATCCTGCACAACAAGCGCTTCGCTCGAGACATCCTCATCAATATGCGACACACTCGAGCCTCCGATGACACGACGCCACCCCGCGGGAGTTGCCCAAAAGTGCCTCCCCTCCCGGGCGTCAGGAACCCATGCAAAACACGTGGCTTCAGCTCACGCGGGAGAGGAACCCATGCGTTTTGTGCCTCCCCCCGAGGCCTGCGGGCGAAGAAGCCCACGCAACGATCCATGGCTTCGGCTACGAGGCGAAAGGAACCCACGTGACCAGGCTGGTCCCGAGGCCCACAGGCGACGGGCACCCGCGCGAGACGAGTGCAAGAGCACCTGGTGCCATCTCGCGGGCGAGAGCAGCCATGCGTGTGCGGCGGTTGTGGGAGGCCTGGAAATTGGCACCAACACCAGCACAAGGCGTTCGCCTACACATGGGGAAGATGACCTTAGATTTCGGTGTTGGTGGTAATAGTTCGGTCACCTTGAAGCCAGAATATTACCACCATTACCGAGATCGGGATCGTCCTCCCTCGGTGGAGGCACACCGCCGATCCTGGTGTTGGTGTCAACCTCTAGGCCTGCGAGGTTGCCCCGCCCACGGGCGGAGAGGGACCCGCGCTGAAGACACGCGGTGGCAGCTCGCGGGCGCCGGGGGAAACCTGGACCTGGCAGCCCATCACAGCTTGCACAAGCAGGGCTCCGACGCGCCGAGGAGGCCCCACAACCGCCCGGGATCGTCGCGAGAGGGCGGTCCAAGAGGACCGCCCAGAGGGCGCCGACGGGACCCCGACATCGCACCAGGACGGCCCCAGAGGCCCCCAAGAGTGGCCCAAGATGGTCCAAGAGAGCCACAAGACGGCCTCTCAACAGGGGCCCAACATGCAACATCGAACTGACGGTTCGAGGCCTCCGCCCCAAGAGGAGACCCGAGACCGCCAGCAGGTGCCCGACGGACCACCAAGAAGCCCCGAGAGGCCCCAACAAAGCCCACGAGAGTGCCCCGAGAGGCGCCCAAACGGTCCCCACGAGGATTCGGTACTGCCTCAAAGAAGCTCCCCAGAGGCTTCCCAAGCGACCCCTGCTGGCTCTGACGAAGCCTTTGGCTCACGAGCTAGGCACGGTCGCGGGATGGGCCGAAGGCCACTGGAATGCCAACAATCAAATCCGTTGATTTTTGTTGCCTCTTCTGGGAGTCGTCGGAATGGCGCAAGCCTCTTGAATCCGCCCGCCCACTGGGCTGAGGGGCGCGTGGGATTTAATCACGAGGGCTCCTTACAAGGCTTTAAACAGCCCTGGTCCCCCCCCAAAGGCCTCCGCCAATCCGCCGCCCGGCTGCGCCATCGACCCTTTCGAGCTTCAGAACTGCTTCAAGACAGCTTCCAAAACGAGTTCGATGTTCAAATCTTTTTGGCGGCGCCTTCGGGGCGCATTTTGTCTCCCCATTTCGGGCCCTTGGGGGCCCCCTTTTGGGCCTCCACGGCCAGCTCCGAAGGCCCTCCAGAGCAATTGCGCGTACAAACTGAAACCATATGTTGCGATGCCAGCGCCTCGCTTCCCCAAAATGAGACAGATTCTAATTCGGAAGCGGGGGCACTGTCTGATGACGCGATGCGACCTTCAAGTCGTCCTGGTCCGCAGGGTGTGGACAATGCGACATATGCTCCCCGCCCACGTGGCGGCCATCCTCCCCCTCAGTTTCCTCCTCACCGCTGGTCCTACCCCGTCTCATCTTCAATCTCGCCCTTTTCCCCCTACTGCTCCTTCTCCTGCTCCTGCTCCCATACCTCCATCCGCCTCGCTCTCCTCCTCAACCCCTCCGCCCCCCGCCCACACCCTTCATTTCCCCCTTCACTTTTCGTCTTCGTCGTCCTCCTCCTCCTGGACAAACCGGCGACAATGGCGGAATCGTCTTCTCGTTGAAAACCACCCAGTCGCCATCAGCGGGAGCCACTGCCGCATGAGCTCTAGCTCCACCTGCAACTCGTCCACGGTGGGCTCGTCGAGCATCTTCGCGACCTTCGTCCTCACATGCAAGGCGTGATCCCTCACCACCTCAGCTGGACAAAATAAAAGCTGCGAGAGCGCGTTGGGCGAATCTGCAAGTTGACCAAAGCACGTGATGCACGTTCGCTGCTCTGAAAGGCAAAACCACCCAACCACCACGGATGGTCGAAATACATGCACAACGCCTGCCTTGCTAACTCAAAACTGTGTGATTATTTTCCTAATGCGCTGGACACGCGCGGTGAGGTTCAGAGGAAACGAACGGGGCACAGGATCGCATGGGAGGGAAATGACTGCAGAAGTAGAGCAAGGCCAAGATGATGATGATGATGATGATGGTGATGATGATGCGTTCCACCCCCAGCGCCCTTATTATTCGTTCTTCGGTGAATGCGGTTTCTTCTTTGTCTCGGCCTCAGCGTCCTCGGCTCCGAGCGCCGCAAGGACTTCCTTCTGCCGCAGTCACTACCATGCCGCTGCCTCTGTCAAATTGCGCAACCTGTGCACGGACTCTGTGATACAGGATTGGCCAAGCAAGCTGAGGATGGCGAAAGTATGTGCGCAGGTGGTTGTTCAAAGTATCTAAATTGCCATCAAAATGCGTGGCGAACGAGCCGAAGGACGTCATCATTGCAACATCCGTGCACGGCTTGCACTAACACACACATATATATATGATATATATATATATATAGCTTTACCTCCTTGTACCGGGACCTGGAATAACACGCACGAATGTAAACTGCCCCGCGCTAGACTCGGCACTTGTAGGGAAAGCAGGAACCTGAGAAAAATCTATGTCGTCGCCGTCTTCTCCACGGGCCATTTGTGAGGCGGAGAGGCCAGCCGGGAATCATGACCACCATCGCGTCCACTTGAAGATCCATCGGCAGGCCGACGATCAACGCACGGGACCCTCCATGAACATCCGCACCAAGAAGAATACCACGATCACCACCGTGTACACCTCCATCGGGCCGAATATCGAAAACACCAGGTACAGCCAGAGAATCGGCATCACTAAGAACACGAGGAGCACGGTCACGAACGCCATCAGCAGAGCGACGATCGGGAACGCCAGGAACTCCGCGGGCATCCGCACTCACATGAACACCACCAGAAATACATGGAATCTCATCGGCAGGCCAACTGTCAGGAGCACAAAGAAAAGTCTGCGCATCCCCGTCGCAAGACCCACCGAGAGCCAGGCCCAGATCACCATCAGATGGCCGTCGACCGAAAGGACCAGGAACATAGTGAATACCAACACCACCACGACAGCCACCACCAGAACGACGATAAGGAAAATCAGGAGCCCCGTGCGCGCCCGTACGACTATGAATGCCACGACAAGTTCAAGGAGTGTCATCAGCAGACCAACGATCAGAAGCACCGAGAAGACTCTCAACATCCCCATCGCAAGGACCACAATGAGCCTAGACAATATCGCGATTATCAAACCGACGACCGAAAGAACCTAAAACGCCTTGAGTACTAGCACCTCCAGGAGCCCCAGGGGCGGCGCGATCTTTAGCGCCATCGGCAGGCCGACGATCGAAGAGACCAGGAACATCACGAGTACAGGCACCACCACGAATGCCATCAACAGGCCGACGATCAGGAACATTAGAAATCCCGTGAGCGTCCGCACGACCATGAATACCACGAGAATCTCTCGGAATGTCATCAGCAGGCCAACGACCAGAAACACCAAGAGGACTCTGAACCCTCCATCGCAAGGACCACCGTACGCCTGGCCAAGATCGCGAATACCAGGCCGACGATCGAAATAACCGCGAACATGATGTATACTAGCACCGCAACTACAGGGGCGACGCGATCTTTAGCGCCATCGGCAGGCCGACGATCGGGAGAGCCAGGAACGCCGTGAGCGACCGCATCACCAGAAACTCCACTAGCGCGGCCAGGCCCGCCAAGTGCATGCCGACAATCGAAGCCCTCAGGAAACCCCCAAGCATCTGCAGGGCCAGGATGGACCGCTCCTCCACCTTCACGATGAACGGCATCTTCATGGCCGCGTTTAGCGCACGGCGGTTGACGACCAAAATCTGCGAGAGCAGCGAGCACCCAGACAGCGTGGCCAGCACCTCCATGCTGAACGGCTCCAACATCATCATGAGAATCGACACCTCCAGAAAAATCGGCCCCAACACCGTGCGTATGAGGAAGCGTCTTGAGTGTGACCGACACGCGTTTCCCCAGGCGAAGAAATATGACCATGATCCACAACCACCGCCTCGGGCACCGCCATTCGCAACGATTGACCCAATACGCATGGGAAAATCTTGCACATCTCAGGGGCAAATACAAGCAGAAGGATGAAGTGCATCACGATCCGCCCAGGGCACACGTTGAGTCTGCAGCGGAACTGTCGTCCAATAGTAAATTGGGCCAAGATCCATTCAAGCCTGGCCGAGCACGCCATCGCAGCGCCACCGCGAAGGAGCGGCAGCAAACAACGCGAAGGTGCAAGTGCGCCCGGGGGCCTGTGACTCCGTAAAAGCTTGAGCCACGAAATGATATGATGATGACGATGAAACTGATGAAGATGATTGTAATGATGATGGTGATGATGCTGTTGATGATGAAGAGGATGGCACTAACCAGGATCAAGCCGATGATGATGATGATGATGATGATGATGATGGTGATGATGATGCTGATGCTGAGCATGAGGCGGCGGAGGAATACCATCAGGATGACATGATCGGCGCGAGAACTCGGGAAATGATTTAGACACGCGATGCGGTTACGTTTTCAAGATACTTGATTGGGCGGCTATGCGGAAGATATCGAACGTGATGCACCGTGCCAAAGATTGTGCTGTGCTGCGCCGTGCTAAAATGATAGGTGTCATGCCGCGATTAATTGCGTTGTGAACCATGTCACCCTTGGAACCCGAATCCTGACCGAACTGATCTGGACCTTTAGCTCGAGCTGCCTGAGCGAATAGCTGGCCCAGAGCTGGTTGCAGCTGGCACGTATTGGACGCTCAATCAGCTCGAGCTCAAGATCCGATTTAGTTCCGCACAGGGACGAGACGACACGTGGCGCAGGGCGCATGGACGCGCCACGGGATGCGCCAGGGGCGCACTCGTGGATGTGCCAAAGGACATGTCAAAAGACGTGGCAAAGGGCGCGACACGGAACGGACAAGAAAAGCGGCACGAAAATCGCTCTGGGGCGTTAAGAACCCAGGTGTTTTCACGCGTGTCCCGCTCGGTGCGTTAGTAAGGCCCCACGTGTTTTCATGACTGTCCCTCTCTGGGGTGTTAAGCACCTGAGTGCTTTCACGCTTGTCCCGCTCACGCTTGTCTGGCTCTGGAGCGTTAAGACCCCGCGTGTTGTTACGCCTGTCCCACTCTAAGGCGTTTAACTCCCATGTGTTGTCACGCTCGTTCCGCTCTGGGGCGTTAGAAACCTGCGTGTGTTCACGCTTGTCCCGCTCTGGTGCGTTAGGGACCCGCATATGTTCGCTCTGGGCGTTAAACTCCCATGTGTTGTCACGCTCGTTCCGCTCTGGGGCGTTAGAAACCTGCGTGTGTTCACGCTTGTCCCGCGCTGGGGCGTTGGGACCCCACGCGTGTTCACGCTTGTCTCGCTCGGGGGCGTTGGGAGCCCATGTGTTTTCACGCGTACCAAACTCTGGGGCGTTACGACCCCACGTGTTTTCACGCAATACCGTGCTCCAGGGCGCCAAAACCCATGTGTCTTCACGCTTGTCCCGCTCTCGGGGGTTAGGACCCCACGTGTTTCCAGGCTTGTCCCGCTCTGGGGCGTTAGGAGCCCATGTGGTGTCATGCTTGTCACGCTATGGGGCGGTAAGAGCCCACGTGTGTTCACGCTTGTCCCGCACGGGGGCGTCAAGAAACTATGTGTTTTCACGCTTGCCCCGCTTTGGGGCGTTAAGACCTCAAATGTTTTCACGCCCGTCCCGCTCTGAAGCGTTAGGCACCAACGTATTTTCACGCTTGTCCCGCTCTGGAGCGTGAGGATCCTATGTGTTTTCACACTTGTCCCGTCTTGGGGCGTCAAGGACCCATGTGGTTTCCCGCTTGTCCCGCTCAGGGGCGTTAAGACCCCGCGTGTTTTCACGCCTGCCCCGCTCTGGGGCGTTAGGAACCCAAATGTGTTCACGCTTGTCCCGCTCGGGGGCGTTAGGAGCCCATGTGGTTTCACGTTTCTCCAGCCCTGGGGTGCAAAGACCCCGCGTGTTTTCACGCTCGTCCCGCTGTGAGGGGAAAGCACCAGAGTGTTTCGAAGTTTGTCTGCTCTGGGGCGTCAAGGACCCTTGTGATGCCATACCTGTCCCGTCCTGGGGCGTTGAGATGAGAGCCCATGTGGTTTCACGCTCGTCCTGCTCTGGACAGGAACCCATGTGGTTTCACGCTTGTCCCGCTCGGGTGCGTTAAGACTTCGCACATTTTCACGCCTGCCCTGCCCTGGGGCGTTAGGAACCCAAGTGTTTTAACGCTTGCCGTGCCCTGGGGCGCCAAGAACCCATGTGTCTTCACGCTTGTCCCGCTCTGGGGTGTCAGGAGCGCGCATATTTTAACGCTTGTCCCGCTCTGGGGCGTTAGGAGCCCATGTGTTTTCACGCCTGTCCCGCTCTGGGGCGGCAGGAAGCAATGTGTCTTTACGCATGTCCCGCCCGTGTGCGTTAGGACACAACATGTTCTCACGCTTGTCCCGCTCGGGGGGGTAACAACCTTAGTGTTTTCTCGCTTGTACCACTCTGGGGCGTCAAGACCTGTGTTTTCACGCTTGTCCCGCTCTGAAACGTTAGCCACCATTGTGTTTTCAGGCTGGTCCTGCTCTAGGGCGAAAAGGACCCACGTGTTTTCACGCTTATTCTCTCTGGAGCGAAATAAACCCAAGTGCTTTCACGCCCCACGTGTTTTGACGCCTGTCCCGCTCTGGGGCGTTAGGGACCCAAATGTTTTCACGCTTGCCGTCCTGACATGTGAAAACACTCGGTTCCAGCTCGGGACCACCATGTTTTAGCGGGCGAAGAACGGTATAAAATGAACGTTTCCGTCACCGGGGGCGCTGCCCCAGGGCGGCTGGAAAATTTATACCTTGACGTGCCACCCGAAGGGTAAAAACTTTCCAGCCGCCCAGGGACAGGCGCCCCCGACATCAAAAAAAAATGTTTTTCCCAAATCAGAGCTTGCCTCTGGGGGGGGTCCTAACGGATTCATGTGGTTAAGTGAAATTCGTCGCCGATTTCGGTGGCCGACCCGGGTGCCCGGGTGCCGGGGTGCCTGGGTGTTGCCCGGGGGTGCCCGGAGGTGCCAGGGGCTGCCCAGGTGCCCCATAGCCCTATAGCCTTGTAGCTTTATAGCCTTATAACTCTATAGCCCTATAGCCCTAATAGCCCTCCTATAGGGCTATTGCCCTATAGCCCCATAGCTCGATGGCCCTAGAGCCTTATAGCCCCTTAGCCCTATAGCCCTACAGCCCTATAACACTATAGCCCTATAGCCCTATAGCCCTATGGCCCTATGGCCCTATGGCCATATAGCCCTGTAACCTTATAGTCCTATTGCCCTATTGCCCTATAGCCCTATAGCTCTATAATCCTATAGCCCTATAGCCCTATAGCTCCAGAGCCTTATAGCCCTATAGGCCTAAAAAAGATGATTGGGGTTTTCTCCGGTATCATACCGTTCTTCGCCCGTAGAATGTCAGAAGCCCGTTCTAGGTGGCCCGGACATATGAAAACACATGGTTACGGCTCAGGACCACAATGTTGGATATCTCCCTGGATGGCCTGGGTACCGCTGGGTGGCCTGGACACGTCAAAACATGGTTCCAGCTCGGGACCACCATGATATATATATATATATATATATATATATATATATATATATATATATTCACCTGGGCTGCCTGGACACGTGAAAACACCGTGGTTACAGCTTGGGATTACTGTTTTAGATGCCCCAGGGGTACATGTGGAAAATCTCCGGCCGAAGAAACTGTATCAAATTATTATACATATGGTGTCGATGTGTTGATTTTGTCTGGCTCCCAAACGACCGCATGTTAGATACCCCCGTCGTGGGCGGGCCGCACACGTAAAAACACATGATTATAGCTAGTGGCCACCATGTTAGATACCCCTCGGGGTGGCCTGGGCGCGCGAAAACACGTGGCTCCAGCTCGGGGCCACCATGTTAGATACCCCTCTGGATGGCCTGGACACAAAAAAAGACGTCATTCCTGCGAGGGGCAAGGGGCAACCATCTTAGATCCCCCTGTGTTTTCACGCTTGTTCCGTTTTCACGTTTGTTCCGCTATGGGGCGAAAGGAACCCACGTGTTTTCATGCTCTCTGTGCTCTGGGGCGAAAAGAACCCCAGTGTTTTCACGCTTGTTCTGCTCTGGGGCGTTAGGAACCACATTTTTTTCAAGTTTGTTCCGCTCAGGGGATCAGGGGATGAAGAAGACAATTGTGTTTTCACTCGTGTCCCATCCTGGGGCGCAAAGGATCCACGTGACTTCACGCTTCCGCCCTGGGGCCCAAGGGACCCCTGTGTTTTCACGGTGGCTCCGCTCTGATGCGAAAGGGACCCACGTGTTTTCCCGCTGATCCCGCCCTAGGGCGGAAGGGACCCACGTGTTTTCGCTCGTGTTCCGCTCTGGGGCGAAGCTCCGCATTCCTACAAACCACCTGGGCACCCTGGGGCGCCGACGCCCTTCGAGTTCTGCAAGACAAGCGCTCCGCTCGAGACATCCTGGACGCTTCTTCGCGCAAGATGCGCCATCCCCGAGCGGGCAAGCATGAAATCAACATGTGCGCATTGCCTGCAACATTTAGGGCCTTCAGACTTCGTCATTCATTCAAGATTCTGCGCCAGACGCTCCGCACCTGCTGTTTTCCTATGAAAAACGAGGGTCTGCGGATTCTGTGTTTATCGAGGATCCGAGATGGGGGGCGAACTTTCATCGAGCGGGCACGCGCGAAACGTATCTTTCCCCAATCAGTGCTTGAACTGAAGGGGTCCTAGCGGAAATTGAAAGATTTGGCGGAAATGTCCCGCCGATTTTGGTGGCCGGTTGGGTTCCTGGGTTCCCAGTTCCGGGTTCCCAGCTCGGCTTCCTGGTTATTGGTTCCGGGCCGATTTCGGTGGGTTCTGGGTTCCCAGGTTCCCGGTCGATCTCCTTATCGATCAAGCCGTCCACTGATTGGGGCTTTCCTCTGGCGCAATTTAAACTAGAACGAAATTCTACCCCGCTATTATCGCAACGAATTCCGCCGGCCCTACGCGAACTTGGCACTGGGGGACAGGCTTGCCTGCTAAACGAGAGTTCTGGGCCGGCGCTGGAGCCCTACAAAAAGGAGGGATGGTTTACTGTAACATCGTCGATGCTTCTCGGCTTTACTCTGGTCCTCCTCCTCCTCCTCCTCTTCGCCTTCTCTGCACCTCCTCCTCCTCCTCGTCCTCCTCCTCCTCCTCCCCTTTCCCCTTCTCGTCCTCGTCGTCCTCGTCGTCGTCGTCGTCGTCGTCGGCGTCGTCGTCCTCGTCCTCCTCCTCCTCCTCACTCCTCCTCCTCCTCACTCCCTCCGTCGCCGCCCAGGCTTTCTCCCAGCCGGCCACCACGGTCGCTGCCTCGCTCGGGCGAAAGCTGACGCCGCCGCTCTCGGTTGAGATGTTCGCGAGGTCGCTCGGCACCTGGGGCCGGAGGATGGGCTGGCCCTGAAGGAACTTCCTGAGAACTCAGCGCCATCGGACACAGAAAGTACACTCCCACAACAACAGTACCGACCCACGAACCCAGAAATAAATAAAATAGAAACGCGAAGCACGGCTACGTTTTCAAGACGCCTGATTGGGCCGTAAGCAATTGCAATACCGAAGGTATCGGTCGTGATGTACCGTGCCAAGGATTGCGTGCTGTGCCGTGCTGGAATCAGATGCGTCATGCTGCGATGAGTTGCGTTGTGCTCTATAGTGTTTTAGAGCAAGCCACCCTTGACATCCGAATCCTGACCGAACTGATCTGGCTGAGACCATAGCTGGTCCAGAGCTGGTTGCAGTCGAAACGTGTGGGACGCTCAATCAGCTCGAGCTCAAGATCCGACTCAATTCCGAAGCGGGACGAGACGACACTGGGTGCAAGGCGCATGGACGTGCCACAGAATGCACCAAGGGCGCACTAGGGGATGCGCCGAAGGACGCGGCAAAGGACGCGCCACGGAAGGGGAAGGGAGAGCGCCAGGGGACAGGCAAGGGAACGCGACAAAGGACGAGCCAAGGGACGCGCCGGGGGGAAAAGCATACGCCGTCCCGCTCTGGGGTGTCACGCTTGTCTCGCTCTGGGGCGTTAGGAATGCAAACGCTTGTCCCACCCTTGGGCTTCAGGAACCCACGTGGGTTCACGCTTCTCCCGCCCTGGGGCGTGAAGAACCTAGAACCTACAACGCTTGTCCCACCCTGGAGCGTTAGGAACTCGTGTGTCTTCACCCTTGTCCCGCTCTGGAATGTCAGGAATCACGTGTTTTCACAAATGTCCTTCTCTGGGGCGTTAGGAACCCATTCGCGCTTGTCCCGCTCAGGGGGGTTAGGAACCCACGTGTTATCACGCTTGTGCCGCCCCGGGGGGATAAGGACCCACGTGGTTTTACGCTTGTCCCGCTCTGGGTCGTTGGGAACTCACATGCTCTCGCGCATGTCCTGCTTTGGGGCGTTAGGAACCCACGTGGTTTGACGCTTGTCCCGCCCTCGGGCGTTGAGAACCCACGCGTTTTCACGTTTGTCCCGCTCTGGGGCGTCAGGAACCCATGTGGTTTCATGCTTGACCCGCTCTGGAGTGATGGGAACCCATGTGTGTTCACGCTTATCCCGCCCTGGGGAGTTAGTAACCCACATGTTCGTCCTCTGTCCACTCCACTCAAGGGAAGTTCAGTACGCGGTCGTCTGGGCCAACCAAAGCGGGGGGGGCACAATGGCAAGAAAAAACCTAACAATCGGCACCGGATGTGTAATAACTGTAATCGTTCTGATGGCGGCCTCTTGGGGGCTCCTGGGACGCCTCCTGGGGTCTCCAGGAAACGTTTGGACACAATTCATTTCGCGCTTGTCTAGTTCTTGGGCGCTAGGACCCCATATGTTTTCACGCTTGTCCCACTTTGGGGCGTTGATGACTCTGACGTTTTCATGTGAGTTCCGCTCTGGGCGTTTCGCGCTTGCCGTGCTCTTGGGCGCCATGAACCCGTGTCTTCACGCTTGTCCCACTCTGGGGCGTTAGGAACCCACGTGTTTTCACGGTTGTTCGCCCCGCAGATCAAAAGTGTTTCCACGGTTGCTCCGCTCAGGCGCGTCAGGAACCAACGTGGTTCCACGGTTGTCCAGCTCCTGGGCGTTAAGAACCATGTTACCTAACAGCGAAGACTGATAGGTTTCTAGTGGGGTCAAAAGAGAGCAGCAGATGACTCCACAGGGGGGTCCGGGCGGCATCCGGGGAGCTGGGTCCGACCTTGTTTTTTGCAAACAGTCACACACTTCGTGCTCTTCGACCTCCCAGAACTCCATTCCCGGGCCACATTTTGAATGCCCGGAGCCAACTGTAAGCCACTTCGTGCTCTTCGACTTCCCAGGAATCCATTCCCGGGCCACAATTTTGGACGCCCGGAGCCAACTGTAGGCCACTTCGTGCTCTTCGACTTCCCAGAACTCCACTCCAGGGCCGCATTTTGGATGCCCGGAGCCAACTGTAGGCCACTTCGTGCTCTTGGACTTCCCAGAACACCATTCCCGGGCCATATTTTGAATGCCCGGAGTTCGTGCTCTTCCACTTCCCAAAACTCCACTCCGGGGCCACATTTTGAATGCCCAGAGCCAACTGTACGCCACTTCGTGCTCTTCCACTTCCCAGACTTCCAAGACTCATCATCTTCATCATCACCATCGTCCCCGTAGCCTTCTTGGCTACAGCCCTGCTTTCGAAGATTTCCTTTCAAAGGAACTGCGCAGCGCCTACTGCGCACCTTAATACCACGACATGCTGATAGTTCTCGGTCTGGCGGCGGTGCTCCTGACCCTGCTGCATTGAACAGCGGTGCTCCTCAGCCTGCGGCAGGGAACAGCGCTGCTCCTCAGCGTGCTGCATTGAGCGGTCCTCTGCAAACGCTCGTCGAGCACGTGAAGCAGTTCGGACGGATACCGAAGCGAAATAAAGGAACGTCCGAACAAGAACGGGCCGAAAACAAGTTGGCCAAACGTTTCTCGGACCATCGCGACCGCATCCCCAAAGACATTTTGCATGAATACCACAGGCAATGTTTCCAACTATGCTTCTACACATCGCTGTTAGGTTGCTTTGCCGGGATAATATTTTCACGCTTGTCCCGCTCTGGGAAATTGGGATGGTTTCATGCTTGTCCCACTCTGGGGCGCTAGGAACGTAAGTGCTTTCACGCTTGTCCCGCCCTGGGGCGTTAGAAAGCTGAGTGTTTTCACGCTTGTCCCGCCCTGGGGCGTTAGGAGCCCATGTGTTGTCACGCTTGTCCCGAACTGAGGCGTTAGGAAGCCATGTGCTGTCACGCTTGTCCCGCCCTGAGACGTTAGGATCCCACTTATCGCGCGTGTCCCACTATGGGGCGCTAGGGAGCCACATGTTTTCACGCACTTCCCTCGTAAATAACGGTCCGATTGTACTCCTGGAACCACCTGGGAATCCAAGGGCGCCCAAGCTTTTCAAGCGCTGCCAGACGAGAGGTTCGCTCGAGACCTCCTCAGATATTCGGCACGCAGGGCGCGCCATTCTCGGACGGGCACGCAAAAAGCAGACATTCCTTCTGCAAAACAAGCGCGAGGCTCAAGCCAATCGTGAAATTCCTGCGGGCGGGACGCGCCATCCTCAAGCGGGCACGCAACAAGTCAACTTGTCCATATCTTTGAATTTCAGGGTCTCCGAACCTCGTTAGTTGTCGAGGATTCTTCGCAAAACGCTCCGCACTCTCTCTTGTAAGGAAAACTGGGGTCTGCTGACCCCGTTGTTTATCATGGATCCGAGATAGGGGGGGCGCCCTTTCCTCGAGAGGGCACGCGCGAACACGCACTTTTTCAACTGAAATCGCACTTTACCTAGTTTTGCCCAGCGGTAATTCGCTGGCCCACCCCCAACATGGCACTGGGGGAACAAATTACCAACTAAACGAGAGCCCTGGGCCAGAGCCCTTTCCCGGAAATTTCAAGATCATAATATGAGAAGGGTTGGGGCGAATTCGCGCGAACGTCTGGGACGTCCAGAGCAGTAACTTCAAAAGTCGCTGGGCTGCTGCCTGCCACCATCCCTTTACTAAGATGAATGATGCGAGATGCTGTCTCTGTGATGTTTGCCGCATGCGAGCTGATGCAACGCACCACGCGCTTCGTTTCGAGGTCGCGAGTAGTCAGCCATGATCATGTGCCTGAACAGGACATGCCACATTAGAAATTCAATGAGTTGACCTGTGTTTGAGCTGCTGTTGCAACGCCTCAACTGGTGATTGTGCCCTCGAGTCCGTAGGTCGGCTCAGCTTGCTGGATTGCCAATTGTGTATGAGGGCAAGGTGAGGAGGGGTGCGACGAGGGATGGTGGAAGGAGGGATCAGGAATCAGGGATCAGGGAAGAAGAGGGGGCGATGGTGCAGGGAAGGGTGGACACGGCTTGGCACCTCGATGCCCTTCTCGCGCATGTAGTCTGCAGTAGCATTCATAGTGCCGATCTTCTCGAAGTTCGAATCGCCGATCGAAATTATGTTTTTCCAACTCTGACCCTCGTACCGGGAGTAGAAGTTCTTGATCTCATCGCTGATAGCCTTGCCTTTGATCCCGCCCCAGAAAGCCTCCAAATTTTGCACGTCCATGACAGTGAGCTGGTCGTGATCGATGGAGACACCATCCTGGGCGTAAACTATCTTTACGTCGAGCTTCTTCAGCAGATCGCCGATGCCCGGGTAGAAGAATTTGCACGAGTCTGTGACCCACTGCCCCTTTGCCAATGTGACAATGACCACCTTCCCATACGAGGCGCACAAGCGTAAGAGCTTCTCTGCATTTGCTGCGCACTCCAGAAGGCTGTTGAACACCTGAACGGTTGTCAAACAATACGCTCGTATTGCACGTTTCCAGCGACGGACTACAAACCCCAAATAGTTCCCCCGTGTCCGTGGCGGCGGTGGGAAACATGTCAACCGTTTCTTGACTAGCGCTCTCAGCCGCCCTCGCAGACACCTCCCCCAACGGTCGTCCCAAAAACACGGAGACAGGCACAAGCAATCAAGCAAGAGCACCGTCGAGCGTACCTCGCCCAGTGCCTTGCGCTGATCACGAGCCAGAGTGTCAAACGGAGGGGCAAGATAATGGAAGGCCAAGTGTAGACTCGACGCAAAGGCTGCACGCACACACACACACACACACCCACGCACACACACACACACACGCACGCACGCACGCACGCACGCACGCACGCACGCACACGCACACGCACACGCACACACACACACACACCGATCTTGCCATCGCTTCTAGGGGTTTCTGCTGGGCCCGGGCCCGCCTGCTTCTTGACCGGCGCCGGCAGCTTCTGGTCCCTGGCCGGGCTTCGAAAACCACTTTCCTAACACAAAAGGTTTTGGAAACAGCAGGATCGGATGATTCAGCATGGGAATATGGGTTTCCAACGAACAGTTGTGCTTCTGTAGAGCTTCGGTTTCGAAACGGCAATCCTCAACATTGAAGCAGTCGCTCCAGTCCGGATTTCAAAGCCTCCTGACCCATCGAATCCGCAGCCAACCCAGCGAATCTCGCAACCCCATCACCTCGCAACTCCGTAACCCCGCAAATTCCCCAACCTCTGTACCCTGGAAGGAAAAAAGCCCCCCCGCTTACTCCTTCAAAACTCTCCCTTGAGAGGGTGGGGGGTCAGAAGGGACGCCCCCCCACAAACCTCCGCAAAACACCCCGTGAGGGAGGGGGAGGGTTTCAGGGGGAACCCTAACCCCCTAGAAAAGAAACCGCCTGAAGGGGGGGGTCTGGGGCGAGGGGGGGGGGGCCTGCGGGGGAAGCTGTCCGACCCCGTGAGGAGGGGTGGGGGGGGCAGCGGGGTTTTCTAAGGAGGGTTCTGGGAGCTGCCGCGCAGGACCGGCGTCCGTGGTGCCCATGCGCAGGGAGGTGTCTCCTCTGAGCGCACGTCCTGCGTCGAGACCTTGTTTTTGGTTATCTTCTAAACGTTGCGCCGCGGCTTACTTCTACTTTGCCTTTGTGGCGCACCGGTGGACAATGGATCCTCGGTGGCGTGGCCTGAACCTTACAAAATAATTGAGCTTGCGTGCGTGTCCGCCCCTAGGAGCTGACGAGTGGCGCTGGAGTGCTACCACGTAGACGTGCAGGTCAATCCGTGTGAAAGGGTGAAGGCTAAGGCCATGAGCAGACTGAAGTACAGCTTGGCCAGATCCTCGAAGGCGGGCTCAGAGCTTGACTTAGCAACGAGCTCGGCACGACCGATCAGTTTCACGGCCAAGATGTAGTAGGTCTGGTCCAGCTCGTATCTACCGCCGTGTATGGGTGAATTTCGTGTCCCGTAGCAGGTGAAGGTCCCAACGCAGATGTCCAGCTCACTCTCTTGCCAAAGGCACCCTCTAAGCACCTGCGCGCATTAACCAGCTCATGCGGCAGTCCTGCTACTTCGACTTCATCAACTTGACTTGTGGCGAGCAGGGCGTGCTCGCCGTCTTTATGATTGGCTATATACTCGTTGTCGGAAAGTGCAGGGACGGCTTGGTGCATTGGATTGATGGTCTTGGTGCAATTGATGGACCAGCATCTCGGTGCGTCATTGTGCCTGGTGCCTGGTTTCTCCATGTGGAGGACCTCGGGTGCTGGGTCGAATTGCGTTTTACCTTTCGCAGGACTGCGACTGTATCGGGGGCGAGCTCGAAGTTGATCTCACGCTCCTCCTCGCCTGTAGTTTCCGCACTAATTAGCTGACTCGTTTCTGGAAGGTTTGCTTGAAGCCCCGCGCGTCGATCGTCCAAGCCCGTCAGGCCGCCTCAGATAATATCATTCGCCTTGGGAGTCGCGATGAGGTGCTGGCGCATGTGGCAATGAGGTCAGCGTCGGCGTCCTTGACACCTCGGCATGTCAGCCTCATGCGGATAATCCGCACTTTTGTGTGGGGTGTGTTTCCCTGCGTGTCCACTTCCATTTGCCTGCCCACCTGCGCTCAAGAAGGTTATGCGCTCGTCGGCGCGGTCGCCGCGAGAAGCAGTTGTTGACTACCTGCCAGACTACCCCAACCCAACCCGACGGCACGAATTTCGGTGGGGGGGGCATGGCTTCCAGATGTGTATGTTCGCCGACCCCCCCCAGTGGAAATGGAGGGCAGATCGGGGCCTTCGGGTTGGGTTGGGGTGGGTTGGTGGGTGGTGAGTGGTCATCCGCCCGAATTGGGAGTTCCTCCAGCTTCGCGGCTGCGGCTGCGCGCTCTCGGAACTACGCGGGGGCGGGCAGGTCGGCGACGCCCTCGACCGCAGCTCGGAGAGCGCGCCCGCGGCGCGCGCCCCCAGAGAAGGGGTGGGGGGGCCCCAGCTAGCCCGCCCCCCTTGGACCTGCCCTGCCGGAAGCCCCCCCCCCCTCTCCTGTTTTTTTCGCCCGTCGGGAGCCCCCCCCCGCCCATTCCCCTTCGCGCCCCCCCGCCCGCGACCCCTTCCGTTCCCAGAGAGGGGTGGCGCTTAGCTGCCGCACCCCCTTGAGCCTCCCTGCCGGCAGCCCCCTGATTCCCCGCGCCCCTTCTCTTTGCAATTGTCTCTTCCGCCTTTCGGAAGCTGCCCCCCTAGGGAGCCCACAAAGGACGTACGCGCACAGCTATGTACATGAATGCGGCCCCTCGATCCGCGAGACTGGCCGCGTGATACGAACATTCGGGCAATGCGTACTCTCGAAACCAGCGTGGATTCATGTACGTGTACGTCCTTCTTTCGCTCCTGACCCCCCCCCCTTCCTCTCGCGCTCTGGAATCCCCCAGGTGGGGGGCTCCCTTGGACTCCCCCTGCCGGACCCACCGCCCCCTCCGCCTCTGTCCCTGCCCCTCGGGGGGCGACAGCGGGCGCCGAACACCGAAGAAACTGCGAAAGCCAATGCCGCCCCGAAGACAAAAAACGCGAAAAGCAAAGAGCGCGGCAGTGCGAAAAAGCGCGGAAACCCAAAAGAGCTCGAATAACGAAAGCATCGACACCGAAAAAAACAGGACGAAGCGAGCGTCGGAAACCAGATGGGCGCCGAAAACAACGGAAGCGCCGAAGACCAAAGGTTCGCCGGAAACCAGAAGGGCGCCGCGAACCGACAGGTCGCCACACTCGAAGGGCGCGGAGAACAACGATGGCGCGCCGAAAAATAAATGAGCGGCAAAAACCACAGGAGCACCGTAAACCAAAAGCACTCCGAGAACCCAAATGGTGCCGAAAACCAAAAAATACCGAAAGCCAAAAGAGCGCCGAATACCAAAGAACCAAGGCGCGCCAAAAACCCAAAGAGCGCCGACAACAACAGCGGCGCCGCAAACCAAAAGGACGCCGAAAACACAATATGCTGCGACAACCAATAGGCGTGGAAGCCAAGGGGGCGCCGCAAACACAAAGAGCGCCGAAAACAACATGAGCCGCCGACCACCAGTCAAAGCAATCCGAACAAACCTAGACGGCGCGGAAAACTACAAATGCGCCGACAACCAAAAGGAGCGCCGAAAACTGAATTGGCGCCGAAAACCAATAGGGCCCCGAAGACCTGTCATAACACCGACAGAGCGCCAACAAAACATCAGGACGCCGAGAACTAACACTTAAAAGACCACCGAGAGCAAAAAAACGCCGGAAACCACAAGGCCACCGAAAACCAACGACGCCCCAAGAACCCACAGACAACGACGACCAAAGCGATAACGACAGAAGAACCCACAGAAAACTGAAAACCAAATCGACGACAACCAACGATGCGCCGAAGACCCGAACGGCCCCGGAAACCACATGGACACCCCTTTTCCTTGGACGACCCTTGCCGGAACCCCCCCCCGCCTCCCTCCCTGTTCGGCTAAAGGAAAAGAACCACATGGAAGCAGCCCCCCCCCGTGGCTAAAGGAAGGCACCGGAAACCAGAAGACAGCCGACAACCGAAGGGCGACGAAAACCCAAGACGCGCCGAAATCCAAAAGATCGCACAGCAGCAAAACACACTCGAACACCAAGGAGGCGCCAAAATCCCAGAAGGCGCCAAGTGCAAACGGAACGCCTAAAACCAAAAGAATTGCGGAAATCAGCGGAAACCGAATACCAAAGAGGCGCCGAAATTCAAAGAACCGCCCGAACCCAAGTGGGCGACGACAACCAAAAGGGCGCCGAAAACCAACCGGCGCCCAACGCCAAACGAGCGCCAAAAGCAAAGGAGCAACGAAACCCAACCGGCGCCGAAAACCACCCGAACGCTGCAAACCTATAAGCCGACAAACGCCAAAAAGGGCGCCGGAAACCGACGAGGAAACGCCGAGAACCCACGGATACGCCGATTACCAAGCGATCGTTGAAAACAGCGGCGGCGCCGAAAAGCAAAACGGCGCCAAAAAACAAGAAAGCCCCCCAAACCGAGGCGCCCAAAACCGCCGGATAACCGATCTCAGCGTCGAAAAGGGGGGTAGCCCCCGAAGCCCCCCCCTTTGAAAGGGAAGCCCAATTGGGCTCCGGAAATGGAGGGGGGGCAGCTTTGAAGCCCCCCCTTCGCCCTTGGCATAGCAATCTCAGCTGCGAAAGGAGCGGGGGGGGGCTTCCGAAGCCCCCCCTCCCTCTTGAAAGGCAAGCCCGGGCCGGCCCTGGGCCCCAGAAAAGGAAGGGAAGGGGGGGGCGGCTTGGAAGCGCCCCCCCCTTGGCAGACCACTCTCAGCTGCGGAGCGGGGGGCGTGGCTCCCGAGCCTTCCCCCCCTCTTTGAAAGGGGGGCCAGGGCTAACTTCTGGCCCCGAAAAATGGGGGGGGAGCTCCCAAGCCCCCCCCCCCCCCCCGGCAAGGTTCTTCAGCTCGGGGGCGACCCCAGCTCAAGAATGCCAGCAAAAGGGATGAGGGGGGCGGCTTCGGACGTCGGAAGCCCCCCCCCCCCCCGCCATTCCCATGGGGGGGGGGGCTGGAGACTGGGGCGCCCCTTGCAACGAGAAGTGCGCCGCAAGCGCGCCCTTTCTCAACTTTCCTGGGCCCTGCCGCGCGGGCCCGAAGGCGCGCGCGCTGTCCGTCCGGGGCGGGGCGGTCGAAAATCGGCATGTGATCTCGCCCAGGGTTAACCTTTCAGAGTAAGCACGTCCGCTCCCGTCGACCTCGATAGCCTCCGCTGTGGAGAGAGGTTCAGCACCCGCTGCGAGGAAGCGGCGGCGATGGCGACCCTCTGCGGACATGGCGCCCGGCGGTGGATATGAGGGAGCTGGCTGAGACTCGATCTCAAATACTTCTCCAAACGTAACTGAACCTGCTGACGGCGCATCCTGCGCGACTGTCTGCTGGTCGCACGCTAGGGAAGTCCGCCGCGTGGTGTCGACTCAGCGTTGGTCGCCCAGGGAAT